CTGTTTCCAGCTTTTTGTAGATAGGTTTTTAAAATTTTTTTGTGATAAAGTGATAGGTGGATGATTTTTAAAACCACTTATTTTGTTTATCAGTGCTCTTTCTTCATTATGAAAAAATACATACATATTGTAGAAAATGGGAAAAATATAAATAGTAAAAATTATGCATAACCTCACCAATCAGAGAAAAACTAGCAACATTCTGTCATATTGGGCCCTCTTTTTTCTATGTATGTGCACACATGCACGTGTAGTTGAAGTACTACTGACACAGTTCTGAACCTTGCCTTTGTCATTTTATGTTTTCTTATGTCTTTAGAAATCCTTGGTAAGTGTCATTGTTGGTAGTTGTATGATGTTACTCTACTACTTTGACTAATTTATAATTTTAATGAAATCTAATTAATTTCTATTTCTTATTTTAGCTGGACCTCCATATACTTTGTATTTTGGTATTAAATTCTATGCTGAAGATCCATGTAAACTTAAAGAAGAAATTACCAGGTATGATACTTTGCTTTTGAACAGATACATGTATGGCATATATAGAAGGCTTTATTTAAAACAAAATTGGGGTCAAGCATTTGGATGTGTGTCTACCTGAGTTTTGTAATGCATCTCCTGTGAGGATTAAATTTAAGCTAGCATTGCAGGAGGGAGATCAGATAAATGTGTTTGAAAAATGGCATGAACCTGAGTGACATGATGATAGATTTTGCATCTGCTGTGATGGGATATTTCTGTACCATTATTGTTAAGCATGCATTCGGCCTTTGTATTCATATAAAAGTAGCCATTTGAACCACTTGAAGGATATTTTGATGCTTGGTTTGCATATGTAAATACATATTTGAAAAACCAGTTTGATAGATTTTGCATCTGCTGTGATGGGATATTTCTGTACCATTATTGTTAAGCATGCATTCAGCCTTTGTATTCATATAAAAGTAGCCATTTGAACCACTTGAAGGATATTTTGATGCTTGGTTTGCGTATGTAAATACATATTTGAAAAACCAGTCATTTCTCTTCAATTGGTGTAGCTTGACTATCAACTATCTAGGTGTTTTGTTTATTTCTACAGGAAATGAAAAGGTAATAAGTGTTTTTAGTATTATTAGTATTAAGAAGGGAGAGAAAAGACCAATGGTTTAATGTATTACTTCATCTTTGTTACCAAATATCTGATTTCAGTTAAGGCAGAATTTCCAATTGGTATTGATTGTCAAAATAGTCCATGCCAACATTTGAAAGTGGCTTATAATGAGCAGATAAGAGTGTTATGTTTTAACTTATCCAACTAGTTACCTTGGCTGCATGTGGTAGCAAAAACAAAAGTATATTCCCTAAATTAACTCTGAGTGGTCAGTTTTCCAATGAACCATTATTGTGGCTCAAATAAAACCTAATATGTTATTAGAAAAATTGGAAGTTATATCTTTGATAACTAAGGCAGTCTGTGGTTTTATTTCATCCCATCCTTTCTTTTCCTCACACTTTCTCTCTTTATTTTGGTTTGCACATGAAAGAGTGAGAAGATGGTAAGCTGATTAGACTTTTCCCATCCCATTCTGAAGTCCATATTTAGTCCTCATTTTTAGAACCGTGCAGTTAGATGTCCGCATTCATGTCTTTCATCGTCACTAGTGAATAGTTTGAAAAGCAGGGAAGCCAGTTCTGGCTTCCTCAGAGCACACCTGTCTGAGAGAAGGGTCACTGGGGTGAGGAGATATTGAGGAGAGGGGTGGTATTTACATTAGAGTTTCATGGGGCAAACTGAGTCTAAGTGGTATAAAAATACATTTATATCTATTACTCATTAGGGAATTGCAAGGGAACAACATTTTATCAAAATGCAATGAAAGCCCTTCATTTTGAAGTTGTCAGGAATCTCTCTGTGCCTCCATTTTATCATCTGTAAAATTGGAGATGTACCTATCTCATGAGGTCTTTGTAAGCATTGAAGGGAATAATGTATGTAAAGCTCTTATAATTGTGTTTGGGTCATAGTAAGTGCTTGATAAATGTTAATACTTATTATTTAATTCTGTTCTTGCTCTGGCCGTACAGTGGGATTACATATTGAATGGGGTCTAGGTTCCAAAAATACTTGATTTAGTATTAAGAAGGGGGAAGAAAGACCAATGTTTTATAACGCATTACTTCATCTCTGTTCACTACATATTAATAATGAACAGAAATTTCCCTTTAGAATCTATTAATAGCTCATTAACAGATTACATGGATTTGTGTATAATGTACACAAATCCCCACAATATTTTCCATACAACCAGTTTTTCCTCAAGTATTAGACCAGATCATGTAGTTAAGAACTAGATGCATAGTTGGCTTAAGATTAGTGGCTATAATCTGTAATAATTTATTTTATATTTTGCCCAAGACATATAGTTGAACTTAGGTAAGTTAAATGGGCATTTAATGTGTTATCACTATAAATTTATGATTAGTAAATGCTGAAGATAAAATTATTGATTTGCATGAATAATGTTAACTCAAATGGACAGGCATAATGAACCTGAAATGGGAAGTCAGTTATGTGAGATAATTTTGGCAAAAGCAAAAACTAAAACCAAAACCAAAATATATGCTAAGAAAGGAAAAGTATACTTAGGCCAGCATTTTCAAGTTGAATGTTTATTGATTTAGTTCTTTAGAAATTATTTCTGCCTGTTCTGTATTGGCTGTTAAGTTGCTTATAATTTTTTTATTTGAAAGATAATGTTATAGCAAACATGCTTTTATATCATCTTCATGTACATACAGTCATATGTCACTTAATGACAGGGGTACATTCTGAGAAATGTGTTGTTATGTGATTTCATCATTTTGCAAACATTGTATAGTGTATTTACACAAACCTAGATGATATAGCCTACTACACACATAGGCTATAGCCTATTGCTCCTAGGCTACAAACCTGTACAGCGTGTTACTATCCTGAAAGCTGAAGGCAATTGTAACACAATGGTAAGGATTTGTGTATCTAAACATAGAAAAGATACAGTAAAAATACATTATGAAAAATAAACAATGGTCACCTGTATAGGGCACTTACCATGAATGGAGCTTGCGGGACCGGAGGTTCCTCTGGGTGAGTCAGTGAGTGAGTGAGTGCAAAGGCCTCGGACATTGCTGTGCACTACTGCAGACTTTATATACACTGTGCACTTAGGCTACACTATGTTTATAAAAAATGTTTATTTACTCAATAATAAATTAACCTTAGTTTACTGTAACTTTTTTACTTATAAACTTTAAACTTTAAAAGAAAACTTTTTGACTCTTTTATAATAACACTTAGCTTAAAACACAAACACATTGTATAGCTGTACAAAATTATATCCTTATTCTAAGGCTTTTTTCTATTTTAAAATTTATTTATTTATTTTTTTACTTTTTAAGCTTTTTTTAAAAAAACTAAGATATACACATACAAACACACACACACCACACACACACACACACACACACACACATATGCCTGGGCAGGGTCAGGATTGTCAATATCACCGTCTTCCACCTCCACATCTTGTCCCCCTGGAAGGTCTTCAGGGGTAATAACACGCATGGAGCTGTCGTCTCCTATGGTAACGATGACTTCTTCTGCAATAACTCCTGAAGGACCTGCCTGAGGCTGTTTTTTATCTTTATAAATAGAAGGAATACACTTTAAAATAATGATAAAAAGTATGGTATAGTAAATATCTAAACCAGTAACATACTCATTTATTATCAAGTATTCTGTATTTTATAAGATTGACAGCATAGTAGGTTTGTTTACAGCAGCATCACCACAAATACTTGAGTAATGTGTTCAGTGACAATGTTACAACAGCTACTGTGGAACTAGACTATAGGATTTTTCCAGCTCCATTATAATCTTATGAGGCCATCATTGTTGGTTGTTGACCAAAATACTGTTATAGGGCATATGATTGCAGTTGTTTTGAAAATCACATTCTTTCACATTTATTGTATGGAC